GAGGGGAGAGACAGAGGGAAGAATGAGACACAGGGAGAAAGAGGGGGAATAGAGAGATGGGGAGGGGGAGAAAGAGACAGAGAGGGAAGAATGAGACACGGGGAATAGAGAGATGGGGAGACAGAGAGGGAAGAATGAGACACGGGGAGAAAGAGGGGAATAGAGAGATGGGGAGGGGGGAGAAAGAGAGGGAAGAATGCCCCCCCTCCCCTGTCCGCAGGCACCGTGCGGGCAGGGGAGGAAGAGAGGACCTGGGAGCTCACCCTGCAGCTCCTCTGTGTCCTTCTTGCGCGAGCACAGAGCGTTGCCGCGGTTACCATGGCAACGTTACTGCTCTTGCGAGAGTCAACTCTAGCCCTGGAGCTACGGGCTAGAGTTCACTCTCAACACTGCAACCCCCATGGATTCCTGGTGGTCGCAGTGGTGAGAGTGAACTCTAGCCCCATAAACACACTGCCCCCACACACACACCATACACATTCACACACTGCCCCCATACACACCATACACATTTACACACATTGCCTCACACACACACATACACTGCCCACCCATATACACACACACCCCCATACACAGCCCCCCATACTAACATTGCCACACACATACACTGCCCACACACCCTACACATTCACACACTACACCCCCACACACACACTGAACCTTTCACACACATTGCACCACTGCTCCCATTCCCTACTACAGCCTCATATCCCAGCAGACCCCAGGTAAGTTGTCAAACTGTTCTTAAACGGTTTGACTACTTACTCTGGAGCAGTAGTGGTTATTGTGCATGGATTATTTCTTTAAATAATCTACAAGTGCCCCAGTAGCCAGCCAGCCAACCCACAGGCTGGCCAGTAGCCAGCCAGTTAGCCAGCCCACAGGCTGGCCAGTAGCCAGCCAGTTAGCCAGCCCACAGGCCAGTAGCCAGCCCACAGGCCTACAGCAAGCCACAGGCTTACAGCCAGCAAGCCACAGCCTGCCAGCCGCAGTCAGCAAGCCCACAGCCTGCCGGCAGTAGCCAGCAAGCCCACAGCCTGCCGGCAGTAGCCAGCAAGCCCACAGCCTGCCAGCCGCAGCCAGCAAGCCCACAGACTGCCAGCCAGCAACAGTAATTAAGGTAAGAGGAGTCAACTTGGCTTAGGTATCAGCGAGCTATGTTGTGTTGCTATATTGTGAATAGGAACCAGAGTGTTGGAGAGACCACCCTCCAGGCCCCATTAGACTCTAGCCTCTGCTAGAAATCCCCTCCATGGCCCATTAGCCCTCAATTGTAGTTTCTACTGGGGCCTGGAGGCTACTGTTTCCAGCAGGGGATATCTAATGGACGCTGAGATGGCCTCTGTTAGAAAGACCCCCTTCCAAGCCTTTTTGACTCCATTGTAGTCTCTAATGGGGCTTGGAGGGGATTCTTTCTAACACACCCTCTAAAGGACACTGAGATAGCCTCCGCTAGAAAGACCCCCCTCCATGGCCCATTAGCCCTCAATTGTAGTCTCTACTGGGGCCCCGAAGGGCTTATTGCCCTTTTGTTCCTTGTGTCTAAAGATTGTGTACGGTGTGGCTGGAGGCGGGACAAGGGTGGCGCTTGCTGCAGAGTATGGGTGGGGCCTGTAAGGGGGCCCTTGATTTATTTTGCCCGGGGGCCCTGAGGGTTCTCAGTCCGCCCCTGGTTACAGCGCAATTGTAAACATTCTAATTTTCTGGGTGCTAATCTGCTAAATAGTACATTTTAGGGCGTCCACTTCATATCTGAGAGTCAAATAGATGCGTCAAATAGTGCGGTTACAGCGCAATTGTAAACATTCTTATTTTCTGGGTGCCAACCTGCTAAATAGTAAATTTGGGCCCTGCACATCATATCTGAGAGACAAATAGAAGCGTCAAATACTGCGGTTACAGCGCAGTTGTAAAAACAGTACATTTTGGGGCATGCACTTCATATCTGACAGTCAAATAGAACTGTCAAATACCAATATAACAATATTGTAATTCGGGGGCAATACCTTCACAAGTCAAACTGAGAGGTCAGTTTATAGGGAAAACTGTTGCCTGGATACAATTCTTAAACAATTTCCATATGTCCTTTGCAGACTGACTTTACATGCTGGAAAAACACAGGTGCCAACCTGCTGTGGTTTTCTGCAGTGTGCAGACCAGCAAGGAGGGCAGGGTTGAGGAGTGGGTGGAAGATGATGTGGAGGATGATGAGGTCCTAGACCCCACATGGAATCAAGGTCATGCGAGTGATGTGTGCAGTTTGGAGGAAGAGGCGGTGGTCGCACAGAGGCACCAGCACAGCATAAGAGGTAGCAGGGTGCAAAAGCGGAGCGACCGTCCCCTAGCGCTCGTCGGCATGTATTATCTTTAGAATTCCCACAGTTATCCAAGTAACAGATGGAGCGATAATAGGAACCATAACAGATTTAATGAGTCATTCACAGTTTTGCAGTCTGGTGACCGGGATCCAGACACTGTCTGGGTGGCGGTCGGATGACCGTGACCCAGTATGCCTGATGTTGAAGTTAGAAGTCACAGTGTGGAATGGATTAGCAGGGTCTGGTGCAGGGTTGAGCACCAGCGTTTGTACGGCCACATACCAGGACCCTGATGCAGCTTCAGTAAAAAGATTGATCCGCAACTTGGAACAAGATGTGACACTGCAGTGGCTGTGCGCGCTTTTGGCGTTCTCACCCTGCTGCTGCTCGCCTGTCTGTGCTGCAGCGTAACTTTGGCCTTCCCGCTCACTGCCTCATATGCAACGTGCCCACAAGGTGGAAATCCACCTTGCACATGCTGGAGAGACTGTGCGAGCAGTTTCAGCTGCAGCACGCATGGGTCAGTCGCTCTGCACCAGACTTGCCCTCATATTGATCAGGATTAAAGGATTTCAAGTGGACTCATTACAATTACAGGGCCTCTAAAGAGTCCTGTATTGTTATTGGTCGTCATTACCTTCCCGTGTCGGGCGTTGGTCATTTGCACGCCTGCTGCCTTCCTTGCAGGTGGTAGCCATTTCTCAGGCTCCCTCTCCGGAATCGAACCCTGATTCCCTGTTACCCGTGGTAGGAAGTGGCATCGAAAGTTGATATGGATGACATACGAATGCTTTGTCGCCTTGTCGTTGGGGAGCCAATTGAAAAAGTGCTCTAGCATGATGAGCTGGGTGATCTCCTCCGGGAACTTGGCTTGATGGGAGTTGAGCCAGTTCTGGGTGGCCCTTGTGATGCGGCATGCCCACTCTGCATGGGAGCCCTTCTCCCCTTTCCGGGTCTCCCTAAACTTTCAGCGGTATTGCTCGGGGGTGACCGCATACCGGGCCAGGAGGATTTGTGTAATAAAGGGATAGTCTCTGATCTGCTCTTCTGGTACAGCCCGGTAAATATCCGCTGCCTTCCCAACTAGTTTGCTGGCCAGGATGGTGACCCAGTCGCTGGGGTCCACGTCTTGGAGTAGGCACTGGCGCTCAAAATCTTGTAAAAAGTCATCAATGCCTTCTTCTGCTTCCTTGAAGTCTTTGAAGGCATTGTATGGTAGCTTGTGGGCCAGGGTGGTTGTGCTTCCCGGCTCCCTCTGCTCCCTTCTTCCTTCATCTGGGTTCATGGAGGTCGCCCTCTTTCTATTGGCAAGGACATAGGCTTGCACCTCCAAAAAGGTCCTGCTGACAATCTCCTCTGAGGGTGGCTCTCGGTAATATGCCAGGCGCCATTACACCTCCTTGCGCACTTCCTCCTCATCTCCGGCCCCTGGCTGGGGTTCGTTGCCTCACTGGATGCCTGGTCGTTCTCCATGAGCACAGCAGTCAATTCAGCCTTGTTACGCCCATCAGGCATTATTCCTCTGGCTCCACACAAGTCCTGCAGTGTAGGTCTCTTTAGAGCACTGCGGTCCATGGGTCTGTTTGCAGGAACATGGGATTCCGCCGCTTGCCACCAATTGAAGCGGGACCTGGGTAACCGATGGTTATCCCCTTTGATTATAATAGGTCAGACTCATTTCCCCAGTAACCGGATGGGACATAGTTCCAGGATACAACGTTTGACAATCTTTTTATTTGGGTACACAGCTTTGCCCCCTGTTGCCTCCTCATCCTACTCAGCGTCTTCCTCCTCCTCCTCTACCACCTCCTCATCCAGTCAGCGTAACACCTTCACCACCAACTTCAGCACAGCCAGGGGGAAACAACAGCAGGCTGTTTTAAAACTCATATGTTTGGGGGGGAAAACCCCACACCACGCTGGATGAGCATGGAGAACAGACCAATGAATGGTTGTTGCCAGGGCCGTCTTTAACGCGGGGCAAACGGGGCAGCTGCCCCGGGCCCAGTTTCTCTTGGGGGGCCCGAGGCACCTGCCCCGTGGGCCCCGCTGACCCCGGCGGGCGGGTGGCCGGTCGGGCAGGAAGGCGGGCGCGCGAGGGAGCACTCACTGCTTTCTCTTCAGCTCCCTCGCGCACCGCACTGATGCCGGAGGATGACGTCATCTTCCGGCGCCGGCATCCCTACGCGGCGCGCAAGGGGGCTGAAGAGGAAGCAGTGAGTGCTCCCTCGCGCGCCCGCCTTCCTGCCCGACCGGCCACCCGCCCAGAAGCCCAGCAGCACCACTGGACCCCAGGGAATCCCCCCAGCACTCCAAAAGGTAAGGAGGCTGGGGGGGATTACATTTTTTTTTAAAAAATGTGTGTTTGTGTGTGTTTGTGTGTTAGTGTATGTGTGTGTTAGTGTATGTGTGTTAGTGTGTGTGTGTTAGTGTGTGTGTGTTAGTGTGTGTTAGTGTGTGTGTGTTAGTGTGTGTGTGTGTTAGTTTATCTGTGTGTTAGTGTATGTGTGTGTTAGTGTATGTGTGTGTTAGTATGTTGTGTGTGTCAGCATGTCTGTGTGTGTGTCAGTATGTCTGTCTGTGTGTCAGTATATATGTGTGTGTATATCTGTGTGTGTCAGTATGTGTATGTGTCAGTATGTCTGTCAGTGCGTCAGTATGTCTGTTAGTGCATGTGTATGCATGTGTCAGTATATCTGTCTGTGTGTATGTCTGTGTGTGTGTGTCAGTATTTCTCAGTGTATGTGGGTGTCAGTATATCTGTCAGTGTGTGGGTGTCAGTATATCTGTCAGTGTGTGGGTGTCAGTATTTCTGTCAGTGTATGTGTGTCAGTATGTTGATCAGTGTATGTGTCTGTGTGTGTGTGTCAGTATGTCGGTATATGTGTCTGTGTGTCAGTATGTCTGTATATGTGCCTGTGTCAGTATGTCTGTCAGTACGTCTACCAGTGTATGTGTCTGTGTGTGTGTCAATATATGTACCTGTGTCAGTGTGTCTGTCAGTGTATGTGCCTGTTTATCTGTATGTAGTCAGTGTATGTATCTGTGTATCTGCTTGTGCGTCAGAGTGTGTACCTGTGCATCTGAGCCGCAACTTTAAATACAAATACACCCCTCCATTCAAACTTCAACACTACATACAAGCACACTCCTACATTCAAAAACAAACACTACACATAAATGCACACTTGCATTCAAACTCCAGTACCACATACAAACACATTCACACAAACATACTCCATACAAACACATGCTTACATTCAAACATACTAACATGGCTCAGTGCTAAATACAACCCTGCAAGCATGGGAAATTGGTAGAGTCCCAGCTGTCAAAGCATTGTTGGAGTTGCACGACAGATGGGGTTCTACCTTTAGTCCAACCTTGCAATTGGGGGTCCCAATAAAATTCATTCTACTTTAGTACCGCCACTGCGTTGGGATGGATGCCGTGATTGCATACCAGGGAGTGAGGGGCGAGAGCGGCAGGGCACAGGGGGCCCAAGCAAACACTTGCCCAGGGTCCATTCGTTATTAAAGACGGCCCTGGTTGTTGCCACTGAGCCTCAAGCCCGGCCTGGTGGTGTGTGATAATGGGCGAAATCTCGTAGCAGCTCTGGGCCTAGCCAGTTTGACGCATATCCCTTGCCTGGCGCATGTGCTGAATTTGGTGGTGCAGAAATTCCTGAAAAACTACCCAGATAAATCAGAGCTGCTGCAAAGTGCGGGCCGTCTGTGCACGCTTTTGGCATTCTCACCCTGCTGCTGTTCGCCTATCTGCGCTGCAGCATAACTTTGGCCTTCCCGCTCACCACCTCATGAGACTGTGTGAGCAGCAGCAGGCAATAGTAGAGTTTCAGCTGTAGCACGCATGGGTCAGTCGCTCTGCGGAACAGAGGTTTCTTTTTTTTTTTTTTATATGTCCCAATATTTTGGGGGCTACCCCAATTTAAAAAAAACAAACAGTGTTGGCTACCTCCTCCTCCTCCACTGCCACTTCCACCTACACCGCCACGGTCACCGCCTCCTCAACCTATGGGTCACTTAGTATCAACTATGTACACAATAGCAGAGGCTTGTGAGGGCCTTTTCTCCATGCATCAGGAGTTGAGCTCAGTCTGAACAATGAAAGAATACCCTGCACTCCAACCCTCTCTCAAATTGATAATTCTGGTGATCCTCCTGACAGCCATGCTTTAGATTTTGATTTATGTTCTTCCAAAGCTAAAATCAAAGATTCCATCTGGTGCCCAAACAAGCGAGGAATACAGATATCGATGCAGTCTTCAGAGTCACTAAACCCCTGAGAGCTCCAGCACTGGCTTCCATGGACCTCGTGGTGAGATTTCGAACCTATGAATAAAGCAGCGGTTCTTGCTACCCTCAAGGGGACTACACCATATAATTTCAAAAACACGACCCTTTCCTTTTATGCAGACATGTCAGGATATACCCTGCAATGGAGTCAGTTGTTACGACCATTTACAACGCTTCTAAGGAAAAATAATATAGGATATTGCTGGTGCTTGCCAAAGGCTGTGCAAATCCTGCATAACAACATGGTCCATTAAGTAACAGATCTGAAGGGAGCTGTGGCATTGCTGCCACCACTGGGCCCACCAGATGACTTTCTAATTCTCTACAGGCTCCCAGAAAAAAAAAACCACAACCACACCGTTGGGACTCAAAGATTACACAATTTGTGCCTCAAGGAGGAATGCATGATGCCTATGCAGCAGCCACAACCTGACTCTCAGCCTTACTGTGTCCTCTATAGTTGTAAGGACACCCATCGTTTGCATTTTGAAGTTCATTGTTATTTTTGTAATCCTAGACACACCAGATGGCATTCACTGCCTCACATCCTGGGAGTCTTAACCAAATACCGAGTGCCTCATTCATTAAGATTATATACTGTATGAGGTCGAAGTTGGGTTTGTTTTTGCTTTTAGTTGACAACCCTCACATATGATTTAATGACGTGTGCCGGGCGCTATCCACAGCCCTTCAATGCCCTATTATCTCTGAAGGGCCCTCACTCCCACCTCCTAGACTAGGCTTGACATACCCCCTGACAATACAAGATCTTGGAGGTGTATCAAAGTATAGAGTTAGGTCTAGAGCCAAGAGTATAAGATGATACCTATGCGGCTTCACCATGGGCATAGGATTAATGTTTTTTATTAATCTAGAGCCAAGAGTATAAGGTCTAGAGCCAAGAGTATAAGTTGATACCTATGCGGCTTCACCATGGGCATAGGATTAATGTTTTATGCAAGATGCATACACAACCAAAATGGGAGAATACATAGCTATTCCTAATCTACTTCAGGTTTCCTCTATTTACACCTATGGGCTTATTGTACCCTAAAGGTTAGTACTAACACACCACCAACCTCTCTTGACTAGACACCGACCAATCCCACTCAAAATAGCCCATGATAATTTAATAATAAAACCCCCCACTCCCAGGCAATGTTCACCTGAGACAGAATGCACTGCAGCATGTCTCTATTGTTATTGCTTCTGCAAGCCCTCTGACGCTGGTGAGCTGGGCACATATAAAGAATAAATTTTTTTTTTTTTTTAATTACTTTGATTATATATAAATATATATATATAATCTAAGTACTTTATATGTAATTTATAAGATGTTTTAAACATTTATTAACGGTCTAAACATGTTTTGCAGGTGCTAGGGGTACTGCCTGAGAGTTCAGGCAGTCCCACTGCAGGCACTGCACAAGCCGGCTATTCTGTCCATGTGATCACGAGGACCCCATGAGAGGGCTGGATCGGCCAGAGGTGGACTGCCTGGGCTCCTTGGCAGTCCTCAGGATCGCAACCACCTGTGGGGGTTCGGCAGGGACCCCGTGAGTATTGAGGAAAGTGGGGGTGTTCTAAGTCGCCCTGCAACATTAAAGACTGTA